ACTGGTGCCCGCCCGCAGGGAGTTTCAAGGCGGCGGGCACAAGCGGGCTGATCCTGAAGCGCTGCTCGGAGCCGGAGCGCTACTGCCTGGCGCGGCTGATGGCGGACGCGCTGCGCGGCTGCGTGCCGGCCTTCCACGGCGTGGTGGAGCGCGACGGCGAGAGCTACCTGCAGCTGCAGGACCTGCTCGACGGCTTCGACGGGCCCTGCGTGCTCGACTGCAAGATGGGCGTCAGGTACGCGTGGCCTGTCATGCCGGGCGGGGACGGAGTGGGGATCCAGGGACAGGACAGGCGCTCGAGGGGGTGCCCTGGGCCTGCGCCCCCTCATGCCCTGCGGCTGCCTGCGCCCACGCAGGACGTACCTAGAGGAGGAGCTGACCAAGGCCCGCGAGCGGCCCAAGCTGCGGAAGGACATGTACAAGAAGATGCTGGCGGTAGACCCCGCGGCGCCCACCGAGGAGGAGCATGCGCAGCGCGCCGTCACCAAGCCGCGCTACATGCAGTGGCGGGAAGGCATCAGCTCCAGCACCACGCTTGGCTTCCGCATCGAGGGCATCAAGGTGGGCCAGGCCCGCTTCTCCTTGCACCGCGCGGGCCCTTCCTCCGCTCCAGCCCCACCGTGCGGTGTCCTTGCGGAGCTGTGGACGCCCGCGCTCCGCCCCCGCCCATCTGCCCTACCGCCCCCACCAGCACGACCAGGCGCCCTCTGGCGGCCGTCTCGCTGTCCCCAGCAGCCCAGGTCCCGGGAGGCACCGCGGCCCTCGGCTGATCCTCCCCGCCCGGGGGCGTCCGGGCCCCCTGACACTCCCGTTCCACCTCCTTCAGAAAGCTGACGGCTCCTGCAGCACTGACTTCAAGACCACGCGAAGCCGCGAGCAGGTGATTCGCGTCTTTGAGGAATTTGTGCAAGGAGATGAGGAAGTGCTGGTGAGCGCGGGATCCCAGGACCCTGAGGTGTTGGGGAGCCCAGGGAGGCCTGTGTGATGTGCGCTCGCCCGTGACCCCCCACCGTAGCGTTTATGTCGCTGTATTGTGGCTGCTTTATGTGCCTTCCCTTCTGAGCTGTGCGCAGCCTAAGGGCCCGTATCCCCCTCGCAACGGTATTTGCCAAGCCCAGCGTGCATGTGGCCCCCTAATTGCTAGCAGGTGCTGGGGGGGGGGTTAATTAACTCGCCGTCCTCTCCTACCCCCAGAGGAGGTATCTGAACCGCCTGCAGCAGATCCGGGACACCCTGGAGGTCTCCGAGTTCTTCAGGAGGCACGAGGTAAGAGGGCGGTGGGCTCGGGTGCCCGGCCTGTGGTCTGGGAGGGCTAGCGTGGGAGAGCGTGGGGGCTTCTCTGGGAAAGGGCCGTGGCCTGACCGTGTGGGGCTCGGCAGGTGATCGGCAGCTCCCTCCTCTTCGTGCATGATCATTGCCATCGAGCTGGTGTGTGGCTCATCGACTTCGGCAAGACCACGCCCCTCCCGGATGGCCAGATCCTGGACCACCGGCGGCCCTGGGAGGAGGGCAACCGCGAGGACGGCTATTTGCTGGGGCTGGACAATCTCATTGGCATCCTAGCCAGCCTGACTGAGAGATGAAGCAGGACTCCTGTCCATGCCAGGGCCGGCCGGTCTGTCATTGGACCTGCGGCTGCGTCCCCACCGTGCATGCCGGCGAGAGACTGGAACCCCGCGGTGCGGGGCGGTTCAAACGGTCCTGCAGGGCCAGGGGCCAACCACTAAGGGGGCGCACTGCCGACGCCCGGGTTGGCGACCACATGGGCCCCGGCGTTCCCAGGGCCGAATGACACTAATTTACAGGAGGGGAGGGTAGGGGGCTTCTTCCTCAGCCCAGCTCTTCTGAGGAAGCTCCACCCCCTCTCCAAAGGGGCCAGATAATGAATTTTGTTTCGCAAGCCTAGACCAATTGGTCTAACCTCTCACACTACAGCGGACTCCCTTTCCCAATAAAACTCAGACCCAACTTCTGTGACTCAGTTCGCATCCCTCCCTCCTCCGGCCCCCTCCTCCTTACATCCATTCAGATCACTGCACGACATGAAAAAAGCTTTTTATTAGGAATCTGCAGGGTTGGGAACTGCCCAGATGAAGGATGCTCTTAGGGGGAGAGTGATCCAAGACTCCTCACCGAAACCTGGCTATGTGTGGAGGGCGACCTCTGGTCCCAAAGATCAAAAACTGGGAATGGCCAGGCCCTTCTCCGGGAGGCCTGGGACTGGTTTCCAGCATGGAAAGTTCAGTGCTGCCAGGCCTGCCCTGAGAGAGGCACAGACTGTGATGGAATAACAAGTCCCTAGAAGCCTGAGAAGGGGTGCAAGGGGGAGCCGTTGCTACCCTCAATGCCTGAATCCTCACCCTCAGGGACTTTAGGACCCCAGGAGTCGTAGGTGGGGTTCCAAAGGCTCTGAGGTTGTAGGCCTCTGGATTTGAGGGACTTGAGGTCAGAGGACAGCCAGGGGCCAAGAAGGCTCCCTCTCCAGCTCTTCAAGTGTTCTGGACTCAGTTCCTGGGGCAGAGGGACTCTTAGGCACTCCAAAGATCTGTTTCCCAACCCAGAGGCCCCTTCCTCCTCCAGGATGGGCCCCAGCTCCATTGGAAGGGGTGCATTCAGCACATCAGGGTCCTGTAGTGAGAGTATTGGGGGGCCCGGGGGCCATAGAGTTGTTGCATGGCCTCCTCTTGCCCCCCCCCAAGACCAGGATGGCCAGCATAGGTTGGGGGAGCACACCTGAGTGCAGTACTGAAGACGCTCCAAGATGCTGGCAAAGCCAGGGCGGAGCTCAGGCTGGTGCTGCCAGCATTGGGTCATGATGCGGTACCTAGGGAGAGGAAGGAGTTCTCGCCTACCCATGGTCGCGAAGGACTTCCCCTCCCCAGGCAGCACTCTAAACTCACACAGGCCCTGGGCAGCCCCTAGGAGGGTCCATCCGACCCCCTGCAACGACGAAGTCCAGCACCTCCTGGTTGGCGCGTCCAGGGTAGGGCATGTAGCCCAGTGAGAGGATCTCCCAGAGCAGCACCCCAAAAGACCTGCATCATGGGGTGGGGAATCAGGAGAGGCCCAGACACAGCCTTCCCTTCCTTCACATGAAGTGGCCCAGAAGGGAGAGGATCAGCTTCAAGGCAGGGGAGGGGAGGGTTAGGAAGAGTGAGTTATCACCAGGAGTCTGTCTTGGATGTGAAGATGCCCTCCAGGAAGGCTTCTGGGGGCATCCACTTGACTGGGAGCAAAGCCCGGTCCCCCTTGCGGTAATAACTGGCCCTAAAGGAGATAGGCAGGGAGTGATGAGTCGTTCAAATTCCACCATGGTGTTGGTAAACCCCACTGAAGCAACAGCCTTCCCACCTCCCCAGGACCCGCACCGGTAGATATCTCTTGCCATCCCAAAGTCCCCAATCTTGGCCACTCGGCTGGGTCCAGTGCAGCTCAGGAGGCAGTTCCGGGCAGCAATGTCCCTGCAGTGTCAGGCAAAAAAAAATCACTGCTGGAACTCAGAAGCTCTGGCCCTTCCTGATCTATTTCCTTAAAAGTTGTTTCTTGAGCCGGGCTCGGTGGCTCAGTCTGTAATCCCAGCACTTTGGGAGGCTGAGGTGAGTGGATTGCCGGAGCCCACGGGTTCGGGACCCGCCTGGGCAACTTAGCGAAACCTCATCTCTACAATAAATAAAAAAGTCATCCGGGCGTGGTAGCGCACGCCTGTAATTCCGGCTACTCGGAAGGCTGAGGCGGAAGGATCGCCGGAGCCCAGCAGGTCGAGGCTGCGGTGGCCAGGAGCGGCCACTGCACTCCAGTCTGGGCGACAGAGTGAGACTCCAACTCAAAAAAAAAAAAAAAGTTGTTTCTTGGGAAGGGAGTTGGGATGCGGTGGCCCCTTGAGCAGGGATTATTCCAAACCTGTGGATGAAGTGATTTTCCTCCAAGTAATGACAGCCCTGGGCTATGTCCTGGGCCAGCTGCAGCAGGTCCCGCATGACCAGAGGTGATGGCTGGTCCTGGGTCAGGCAGAGATGCATTAGTCCATGCATGCCTCAGGACACGTGGACAGGGTCTTTAGAAGGGCCTGGAGTGCTGAGACAAGGGCCTCACCAGGTGTGGCCGACTGTGCCTCAGGAAACTCTTCATGTCACCTCCAGACATCAGCTCCAGCAGAATCAGGCGAGGGGCAGCCCGTAGGCTAAGCCCCAAACACCGCACAATGTTCCGATGGCTAAACTTGCTGAACGGGGAGGTGTACGTATCCCATCACCAGCAGGAAGATATAAACCATGTTCTAGGCTCCACAAAACTGGAGAGGACTTCTGTCCCTAGACTTGCTACATCTCATTCCCAAAGTAAAGACAGGCAGTTCCTATAGGTTCCTCCCTCCCACCCCCACGCTTCCCCCTGGTCCCAGGTGCACCTGATAATGAGTGCCTCCATGAGGAAATCTAGCTCATCCTGACGAGAGCTGAGTTCAGGCAGGGTCTGGGGAGGAAAAGGGCACAGGGTTTCTGAGCTCCCCCTGGACACTTCAAGAGGGGTGGTTAACCCTAGCTCTCTAGTTGTCCTTCCATCTTCCATGGTGACCTGCTCTCCTACCCTAAGCCAGAAGTCCCAGCCTCTCACCTTGATAGCCACCTGCAGGGGGCTGGAGTCCCCAGGAAGGCCAATTACCAGTCCCTCGTACACCTCCCCAAAGGCACCGTGGCCCAGGGCTCTGCAAGAAGACAGGTTGGAAAGGAGAGGGTGGCTGGCCTGGAGAAGGGCTTGGAGAGTCCAGCACCCCTTTGTTTCCCTGATCCCCTGCCTCCCATGTATACCTAACTGACCCTATCTGAGCTCTTGCTGATTCATGTCATGTCCCCAGGTGGAAGCCCTGCAAGAGTGACGCTGGCTCACAGAACCAGGCCAAAACAGAGGGCAGGTGTGGGTCACAGTCGGGGTGCGAGTCTGTGATAAGGCTTTCCCTTATGTCCTTGTAGACACCCTGGGAAGGAAGGAGGCAACCACTGGGTGTGAAATAGTCATAGTCTTTTTTTTTTTTTAAGTCAGGGTCTCATTCTGTTGCCTAGGCTAGAGTGCAGTGGCATGATCATGGCAGCGTTGATCTCCTGGACTCAGGTCATCCTTCTGCCTCAGCATCCCGAGTAGCTGGGAATATAGGCGTGTGCCACTATGCCCGGTTGATTTTTTAATTTTTTTTATTTTTGGAGATGAGGTTTCAATATGTTGCCTGGTCTTGAACTCCTGAACTCAAGCAATCTGCCTGCCTTAGCCTCCCAAAAGTGCTGGGATTACAGACGTGAGTCACTGTATCAGTCCTTACCACTCCACAACTGGGGCTGAAAGTTGACCTTAGGCAAGATTACTTCTTCAGGAGCCTCTCCGGGTCTCCATCATCCCAAGGAGTTTGGGTCAGATGCTCATAATTCTCTCCAGCAGGGAGCAGGATTGGAGGTGGGGATTCAGAGTGCCCAGGTTCTCAGAAGGAGGTAGAGGACTCACCTGAGCAGGGTGACACTGGCTGGGGAAACCTCGGTGAGCCCCGGGGGCAGAGACCAGGACTGAGGCGGGCCAAGCCCCACCTCGTAGTAATAGGGATTGGGGGCTGTTCTGACGGCAGAGGTTCGAAGCTTGCTCAGCTCAAGCTCAGGGCCTGGCAACCTCGTCCCCCACAGACCATGCCACTTCTTCTGGTTCACTGGGGGCAGGAAGAACAATGGCATACTCTGTTCCTGCCCATCAGGCCCACCCTGTCCCTATCCCCCCTGCCCAGGACACCTAGATGCCCATTAAGGTACATGTTTTCCCCAGGCCTCCCCAGCCACTCCCTGTCTTAGAACTCTAGAGGAGTCTACCACTGCTCTGCTGGAGGCAGAGGTTGTGAAGTCAGCCACATGTGCCCCGGGACCCCACAGAAACCCATCACAGCTCAGTGGAGACAGAGCAGCCTTGAATCAGCCGTGCCTGCTAGATGCTCCATACCCAGAATTAGGACCCCGCACACCATAAAGAGGCTCAGTGTCAAGGTCGCCACCACAGCCACCATCAGAACCAGAGGGCCTGGGGGGGCAGGCAGGTCTAGGGAGAAAGAGAGACACCTCCAGTGGGAAGGGTCTCTCTGTCTCTTTACCCCCCCAAGTTTTACCCATGCTTCAAGACCCAGCTCAAGCATTAACTTTCCCCCAGTGCTCTTCCCAATTATCCTAGACAAATGCAACCCCTCCCTCACGAAAACCCCTAAAATACTTGCTATCTCCCATAGTAATTGTCATAAGACATATACACAAAACTATATGCTATAACTACTATCCATCCCACCTCCCACACTGGACTAAACACTCCTGGGAGGCAAAGTGCACACTGATGCATCTCCAGTTTCCTGCCCAGCACCCAACACTGTGCCTAGCACCCAGCAGGCCTCTGCACCATCTTTTGCAGTGTCCTACTGCTCCTCCCAGCCTGTGACCCCAGGAAACCAGACTTTGAGCAAAGGCAGGACATACCAATGCAGGTGGTGTTATCCACAGCCAGCTCCATGCCCTCTGGGCACAGACATTCAGCCAGCTGGAGCTCTGCCTGCCACTGGCAGTCTCTCAAAGGGCAGTGACTGCAGTTGAAGTACCTTCGGATCTCCACCTCTCCGTGGTTCTCCATGACTGTGGGTAAAAGGAATGATATGGCGTCATGGGGCAAGGATGGGTTAGACATGCCTCTTCCAGCCACGTGGTTAATTCTAGCCTGGGACTTTAGATCAAAGAGCAGACCTAAGCATACGAGGGTAGTGGGAGAGCCTGGGGGACTCTTAAGACTGCACATACCCCCTTCTGGGAACTTTGAGCTCACAGTACTAGAAGATAATTCATATAGCAAGGGGATCTTTTTTTTTTTTCTTTTTGAGTTGGAGTCTCACTTCATCGCCCAGACTGGAGTGCAGTGGCCGCTCCCGGCCACATGGCCACCACAGTCTTGACCTGCTGGGCTCAGGCGATCTTTCCACCTCAGTCTTCCAAGTAACTGGAACTATAGGCACATGCCACCATGCCCAGCTAATTTTTTTTTTTTTTTAAGAAAACAAGATTAATTGAGAGAACAGAAAAGCTCCCACAGTGGGAGGGGACCTGAAGGAGTTGCCTTTTTTTTTTTTAAATTGTAGAGATGAGATCTCGGCAATTTGCCAAGGTTGGTCTTGAACGCGTGGGCTCAGGCAATCCTCTCACCTTGGCCTCCCAAAGTGCTGGGATTAAAGGCATGAGCCACCCTGCCTGGCCAGCAAGGGGATCCTTGACAAGCACTCCAGCATGCCCCATGCTGGCCTCCATCACAACTGGCATCCCACTTCTCAAAGGATTCTGTGCTATGCAGGAATTGGATAGTTCACAGTGCAGAGTTGGTGGCTCTTCTGGGAGTGGCTCAGGGATCGAGGAAAGAAAAGGGCCAGGCCAGGTTGAGAGGAAGAGGGGTGGGGCCAATACCCGCCAGAGGCTGCAGGTAGAGCTCGCTGCTGGGGTGTATGAAGGATACCCCATCTTCCCCGTCAGCCCAGACGTCATCAGTCTCTGAGGCATCACCCCCTGGAAATTGAGAGTGATGGAGGGGTTGACTACAAAAATAAGCGGTAGGAGTGAGGGAGGAGTAAGGGGCACACATCTGCCTCACAGTTGGGAAGCAGGCTTATGAACAGCAGGGAAGCTGGACTCTCCCAGTGGAAATCTCAGTGTGGCCTTCTCTATTCCAGCCTTATGATGGGAGTGCTGTCTGTTCCCAAGTGGGAGCTGAGGAGTTAGAGAAGGGAGTACTCAGCTGGAACCTGAAGGCCTGGCTCAGGCTGGCTGGGATGCCTCCTGTCTCTCTGAGCCCCTCCCATCCCATGTCCTCAGCTATAAAATGGGAGAGGCCCAACTCACACATTCCATTTCTGTGAGAATGTAGATGATGTGTGTGAAGTATTTATGAACAGGCCAGGCGCAATGCCTGTGATCCCAGCATTTTGGGAGGCAGAGGTGAGAGAATTGCCTGAGCCCAGGGGTTCGAGACCAGCCTGGACAACTTAGCAAGACCTCATCTCTACAGTAAACTAAAAAAATTAGCTGGGGGTAATGTCATGAGACTGTAGTCCCAGCTACTCAGGAGGCAGAGGTGGAAAGTTAGTCTGAGCCTAGCAGGTTGAGACTGTGGTGGCCGACTTAAGAAAAAAGTATTTATGAACAGATGAACAGAGTAGTCCAGACAGACACAAAAGCTTCATTCCCAAACTCGAATGCATTAGAATCATCTAGAAGATTAAACCGATTGAGACTCTCCTCTAGAGTTCCTGAGTCAGTCGGTTAGAGAGGGGCTGAGAATTTGCATTTCTTTTTTTTTTTTTTTGAGTTGGAGCCTCACTCTGTCACCCAGGCTGGAGTGCAATGGCACGCTCATGGCCACCGCAGCCTCCACCTACTGGGCTCAGGTAATCCTTCTGCCTCAGCCTTCCAAGTAGCTGAAACTACAGGCATGCGCCACCACATCTGGCTAATTTTTTTTTATTTATTGTAGAGATGAGGTCTTACCAAGTTGTCCAGGCTGGTTTCAAACCTGTGAGGTCAGACAATCCTCTCACCTCGGCCTCCCAAAGTGCTGGGATTATAGGTGTGAGCCACTGCGCCCAGCCTGCATTTCTTTTTTTAAAGTAATTTTTAAATTAAAAATAAAAATTGTATATATTTTGCACAACATGCTTCGAAATATGCATACATTGTGCAATTGCTAATTCAAGCCAATCAACACATGCAACATACTTATTTTTGGGGATGAGAACATCTAAAATCTCAGCAATTTCCAAAAATATGTTGTTATTAACTACAGTCACCATGTTGTACAACAGATCTCTAGAAATTATTCTTCCTATCTAACTGAAATTTTGTATCCTTTGACCAACATGTCCCCTCCTCAAGATAATTTGCATTTCTAACAACTTAAGCATGCTGACGCTACTGGTTCCAGGGCTCCACTTTGAGAACTACTGACTTACACCTCCCAGTTCAGTTTGCTAACTCAATCAGCCCTAAATTCCTGAACTGCTGCGAGCATGGGGGGAACCTGAAAAGACCCTGGATTTAAATGCAAATCCAGGGAGTCCTATCTGCATGTGTGGTTTGCAATTTTTCGACCTGTTTCTCTAAGAGCTCCTGCTCTGGCCTGGAGCGGCAGAGGGGGCTCAACGCCCTTCCCACCTCCCCTTCCGCGGGCTGGGCTCGGGCCTAAGTAAGGTTCTAACCTCACTTCACTCTCGGGGCTGCCCAGTCGCCCTCCCGGACCGTGCGCTTACCTTGGTAGCCGCCGCCGCCTCCGCCCGCAGTGCAGGCCCCGCCGCCGCCCCCGAAGCCGCCGGCCGCGGCCCAGTCAAGCGTCGCCCAGGCCTCCGCGCAGCCCTGGCCGCCCTCCGCCCC